TTTGAACAAAATATTTGAAATAAATTATGATTAAAAAAAAATAAAATATATTTTAATTTATAATATTATTTGTTTTTAGATTTTAAAAATATATTTGAAAAAATTTAAATTTTTTTTATTTTTTTATTTTAAATTAATAATTTTTTTAGTGTTTTTTAATTTTTTTAATGTATTCATATTAAAAATAATTTTTTAAAATAAAAATATATTTTGAAAAACAATAAAAATAAAAACAGCATGAAATACACTGTCCATTTCAAATGAAACGGAACGTAAGTGATAGCCTTTGTGATATCCTCTCAACGACTTCCCCAAAATACCCTTGGACTTGATCACTGGATATTCCAAAAAAGAAAAAGTAGGAACCCAAAAAACAGAATAAGAAATCATCAGCAAAATCACAGAGAGAAGAGCCACAATCCTAGACACAATGATCAATGTACACCGTCACCTTCTATTCCAACCTAAACCTCTCCTAACCTACCAATCCAATTTCCTACCAATCTCAACCCTCTATTCCACCTCATTCCCAATTCGGTCACCAAAATCAACGGTCCCAATTCATCTTCAAAAGCCATTAATGTATAGGACAACGATAAAATGCATGGCAAATCCAAGGAGAGTGAAAATGGTAGCTAAACAAATACAAAGAGAGCTATCTGATATGCTTTTAACTGATAAAGTGTTACAGTATGCTGTTTTGCCTGAAGCTGCCTTAGGTGCTGATAAGTACCTGTCTTCTCTCACTACCATCAGTGATGTTGAAGTTTCTGCTGATTTGCAGGTAAATTTTTGGTTATTTTGTGTATATGTGAAATGGGTTTCTGTTAATTTGTGTGGAAAATTATTGCTTTGGAAGAAAGTTTGTGTCCTGGCGTGTGTTGTGTGGTAAAGTTAAGGACTTCTTTGTTTTTTTTTTTTTTTTGAGTTAGGTTGTTTATGGTGGCAACAAATATCAGTTGCAAAGCTTGATAGTTTTGAAATTATGGGTTAATGAGAGTTTCCCTTTGTGTATACAAGAATTTGTGAGTTTGAGATGTAGAACTTAATGTGTTGCCAGGAGGGATGTTGAATGTTATTTACCTTTTCTGCTCTGTTTGTTTCCTGTCGTGAGATTTTTCAGGTGTACTGCTGTATTAGGTTTTGTTTATTCGGATGTAAGTTGTAGTTTTGTGTTCTTTTTTGTAGGTGGTTAAGGTTTACGTTTCTGTTTTTGGAGATGATAGAGGGAAGGAGGTTGCGATTGCTGGTTTGAAGTCGAAAGCTAAGTATGTGAGGAGTCAGTTGGGTAGGCGCATGAAGTTGCGGTTGACGCCTGAGATACGGTTTATAGAAGATGAAGGTTTGGAGAGAGGAAGCAGGGTAAGTGCTTGCGATATCTTGTTTTTCATTTTATCAATGTTACTTTATAGGGTCATAATTGTATAACAGGAATGTTATATAGTTTAGCAACTTCTCTCTGCATTGAAGAAAAAAATCTCCATTGTCAGTAAAAGTCAACCCAGGTCCATGTTTGCACATGTAATTCATGAATGTTGATACATTCATTCTGCTCTTGGTTCTAATATTGTTGTGGTAAAGTGGAAAATGCTTTGTATTATCCTGATTGATCATGTGGAGTCTCATTCTGTCTTATCTATATTGTTGCTTTAAAGTTTAAAAAAAGCTCTCAGAGCAGGCTAGGCAACATTAATGTGGAAAATACTCATGTGACATTCAAGTGTGAACGTCTTTCAGTGTTTATTCTCTGTGTTCATGTTGCCTTTTCCTTAATAATACTGCAATGGTAATTGTGGTAATGGATTTGTAGCTATTTCTTTCTCCAATCAATTTGGTGAGAATGAACAGTTCTTGCTGCAGAAAGTTTTGTATTTATCCAGACAATTGAAGAGTCAGAGCATTGTCTCTATGGATAAATTTTTTTTTCTTCCGACGTGTGCTCATCAGATACTGATAGGTTGAATTAACCCTTTCAGGTGATTGCAATTTTAGATAGGATAAAAGCTGAGAAAGATAATGCAGAAAGTCAAGTTGACGAGCTCTCTGACTCTTCCAATTCAATCCAATATGATGAGGATTGGGAGGGTGATGATCCGGATGAAGACATTATATATGTCAAATAGTTGCTTCTGTAGATGAATGTATTTATTACAGTAATATCATTTAGGCAGCCAAGCTGTCCCAGGTTAGTTTCCCACAGCTTGTGATTTCCTTATGAAGGATGATACTTTTAGCTGGGTACATTTTATTTATTGATTTTCAACTTAAAGCATAATGATTTTTGCTCATCAGTGCTGAAATGGATACTTTTATAGGGATTAGATCTTTGTTTTTTTGGTAAATCAAGAGCAGACTTCCTCGAAACTTAAGACTCAATTTTAAGAATCTATTTCATTACTTCGAAGAATCACAAATGCCTGATGTGATTGGAATTTTGGAATGCCCTTCAGCTTTTGTGTCCAGTGATGACTGGATGGATGAACTTAGAACACAAGTGCAGTAATGTGGGTTTTGATGAATTAGCATCATCTAGGATAGTGAGCATAGTTGTAAATTGTAATGCATGTGTCAAATGTACATTTTCTGTTATGCATTTGTTCATGGCCTAGGAGTTGCATCAATCCATGATAGTAAAGTCTACCCCAGCATATGATACCACATCTTTCATGCTTAACTCTTTTGATTTCTGGTGCTTTTGCATCATTGATTTTGATCAGAGTCAAAGAGCTGGAGGATGTTTTTCTCATGTGAAGTTACCTGAGATTTTTCATGCTGGACTCTGCAATTTATTTGTATGATAAAGAATATGATTTACCTTTTGCACTTAATCTGATCATAGCTTCGCTAGAACCAATTCATGTTCATTCTTGCACCCGTGATGTATGCCTTTGGTTGAAGTTTCTCCTCGATCCTGAGGCCCTCACAATATTGCTGGGATTTAAGTTCCTTCTCTGTCGTACTTGTTAAGCCAATAGACTTCTCTTACCAGCTACTGTATCTAGAGCAAACCGTCCACTTTGATGTAGTGATTGGTTCCTCCGGGTTGTGGGTACATTGGAAATAAAAACAAAATCCTCAGCTTCTGTTTTAGGTTACTCTTGCTGGTGATCTGAAAGATTTGTTAGCTTGACTACTGTACTAGCAGTTGAACTGCATGATGCGAGTGCTCTTATAAATGAATCTTTGTGGGGGTAGCCAATAGGTAACACTGCATGTGTTATCAACTCCCAAGTGAGAAAAATCATCACAAGACAAGTCGATATGAATCAAGTCGATTTCTTGGCTGGTTTGCGCAGATTTCTTGAGACTAGAGGGACCAGCCCCACCGGGCTGGGCTGAGTTTTTGAATAAGAACAAGTCGATATGAATCACCGGGAGGAATTGGAGTGGCTCAAGGAACTGAAGAAGTTCGTCAGCTCTTCAAATGCCACCACTACTAGGGTTCGTTATCATTGATTTGTCTTAAAACAATGTGATTTGGAAAAATAAGTTTAGTTATCGTGCTTGGTGCTTGCCTTGTGAGAATAAGGCAGCTACTGGTTGTTTGCATAAAGTAATTTTTTTTAAAGTGATTTTATTGGAAAATGAATTTTTAGAAAGTAAATTATTTTTCAATAGTATTATGAAAAAAAAAATAGAAAATATTTTTTAGTGTTTGAATATGTTATATAAAATAAGTTGAAAAATAACTTATTAATATTTTTTTTCAAGTATATTAAAATAATAAAAAATAAATTTTACAAATTAATAAAGTTAAATGGGAATGAAATTGAAAAAAAATTAATTTTATAAATTATTTGAAATAAAATAAATAAAAATTAAAATATTGGGGATTAAATCTAATAGATAAAAAAAGTTGAAAGATGGTGAAATTAAAAAAAATTATAATTTTATAAATTATTTAAAATAAAATAAATAACAATCAAAAGAATGAGGATCAAATTTGATAAATTTAAAATTTTGATTAAGAAAATAATAAGAGAAAAGTAAATAATAATCATAAAAATAAGAATCAAAGTTTATATAAAAATCAAATTAAATCAAATTCTAATGGATGAAATTAAAGAAAAAAAAGATTTAAAACAAAATATATTGTAATAAAAAATTAAAGAATTAAATTTGATATAATTAGCAAATAATATGATATTTTTAAATTTGTTTTATAACTTTTAAAAGGTGTTTTCTTGAAAAACATGTTTTTAAAAATCAAATCAAATTTTTTTTAATTAAAAAGTGTTTTTTTGTTGATTGATTTTTTTAATAGTAAATAAACACATCAAGATTTAGAAAATAATTTTTAAAAAACTATTTTTTGTGTGCTAAATGATTTTACTTTCATTGATGTAAATGTAAATGATTTTGCTTTCATTGATGTTTTCATTTGATGGCGAATTAAGATTAAGTTGAAGTCCATTTAACATCATTTATGAGAAGTGGCTTTCAAGTTTAGATTATAATTTAAAACAAAAATAAGCTTAAATGACTTGAAATTATAAGCAGATTTGATAAAATGATTTACAGCAATTTTATTTTATTTTTGAAATAGTATAAATACAATACATGGTTAAAAGTTAAGAATTTTACCTTTTGATTAAATCAAATTTTAACTCAATAATGAATCACTCTGATCGATATAATTTGTTTATCGGTTATGCCTATGACTTCTTTGCACGACCCAAAACAAGTCCACCTCCAGCAAGAAAACGTACAGTTACTGTGGAGCGCAGCCTTGCCTGGTGCAAAAACAACTCGCCAGACAATTGTTCAGAAACAGAGGAATCAAACTCTTCTTTTCCTGACCAACTGAAAAGAAACTAAATGAATGAGAAAGGAGGGGCTTAATTGAGGTGGGGAAATCAAGGGATCATAATTGGGAAAACATCAAAGAGAATACGGGGCATTCTCTAAAAACTGAAACTTCAACTACATTGATCAATATGACAACTAAAGAATGGATCAAAACTTCTGTCAACACAAAGAAGAAAAACGGAACCGAGATGCCCAAAGACACAGATCATTATTTTAATCAATGGATGATTCAATCTCCCAACATTTACCCATTGTTATGGAGCAGTACAAAACTATCGTGGCTGATCAAGAAAATAAATCTCACAAACTAAGTCATCAACTTGTGTAGAAAAGGATCGTAAAAGAAACAAAAGCAGTGAAGCTTTACACCAGGATGAAAGACTGGTACAGTGCCGTTGAAATGCATTATTTCTTGTCAACTCAGCTAATCTCCACCCCAATATTTAACAAAACTCCTTTTAATGATGAGCCTTTGCTTCAGCTTTCTTTTGTGACTTTGCCTTTGCCTGCATTTGAAATAATAAGACAGTAAGCAAGCATTTATAGATCAAAATCAAACATGATACGGAGTCAGTGTGGCATGAAATGAACGTGCGAGTGTCACAAACACCACATCAAATATAAGCATTTACAGATGAAACCAATCATGATTCAGTGTGGTGAAATGAATGTGCCAGTGTCGCAAACACCACATCGAACATACAAGAAAATAGCAAAGATTGAATGTCCTTGTGAAAGAATTACTGAATTAGCCCATGCTCGGTCACAGGTGGATCAATTTAAAAAAAAAAATATAAAAAAAATATTAAGAGTTCCAAGAATTTTTTAATAGTATTATTAAACATGATTAAGTGGATTAATTTTAAAACCTCCCAACTCAACTCTTTATCTAACTCATTAAACCGTGTGAAAGTTAGATCTACTTAAATCGATCAATTTCATAGGTCCAAATACAACCTTAATGATCGATAAAAACATGAATTAACTTTTAAAAAACTTAAAAATAATACTTTTTTTAAAAAAATATTGAGACAATGACCTACTTCACCCCTCCGCAACTCGGGTCATGAATTCTATTAAGCTTAATAAAGTTAAAACATGGTTTTTCTCTAAAACAATTTTATTTTTTAAACAATATGAGAAAAAAATAGACTATAAAAAATTCAACTTCGATTAAAAAAAAAAAACACCTCTTCAATGAATTGAAGCAACCTGAATTACCTCAACAAGCCCACAAACAACGCTAACCTCATAGAAAGACAAAATAAAAATAAAAAAAATCAAAGAACTAAATTCTTAATCATCTCAATATTAAAAAATGAAATTAACAAAAACAATTTAAAAAAAATCATAACAAAAAAAAAGGAGTAAAAAAAAAATGAGAAAATACTATAGCAATCTATGTTTTGTGAGAAAAACTATAGTGCTTTCCCCACGTCATTTAGCTTTTCTTATAATATAAACCACCAACAATAAAATGATGAAAAACACCAAAAGCTTAGAAGCATTTCACGAGAGATTCCTGTTTCTGCCTTTAGAAATATTACTGAGTTTTCCTGAGCAAAAGAATGAAAAAACGACAGCATGTAGTAAGACAAGGATATCATCTTTACCAACAGAAACATTAAAGCTATATGTGAAGGGAATTTCAATCATGAGAAAACACCTCTCAGGCAAAACAAGGGGCTCAAACAGATGAGGAGAAAAATATCAGATTTATCCTTCCATGGAAATTCCACCATAATGTTTTACTCGGTATCTTTTACTGTCTCTATCCTTGCCAGTCCAGCAATCACCCATGCATCCATCCCCCTTGTCCTATTTAACAACGCTGACAGCAAGGTGAGCAGGGCATATGACCCAGAAGATGAATACTCACCACCGTTAAATTTGTGGGACCCGCACAAAATCAAAGTTCCTGATTTTACATCCGGTGAAACATGCTGTTTCTTTAATGAGTCTTCCAACCTATAATTCTCACTGGAAAAGATAAAAAATTCCACCAAGCCCTCAAACTAACTTGGATGCATAGCAATTGGAATCTTAATCCAGTGGTCAAATGAGTTCATTTTCACAAATCCAAGACTATCTTATCCATCTAATCAACACATTCCCCATCAATTTCTCAAGCTAACTATCACTTCCCAATATTTTAGTAGATAATTCATGGTAAAGCAGTCATCTTGGCCAAGAAATAAACCCTTCTTAAGCATCAGATTGTTGACTTTCTACACAAAAAAATGTACCTGGAGATACTTTAGCTTCACACTCCCGTAGACGAGACCCAAAGAGAAAGCAGAAACACGAGCCACCTGAAAAACCCAAAAAAATAATTAAATGAAAAAATATTGACTACGATAGATCAATTTTAAGATCGGGGTGATTTTGACTTTCGATTTTCTTGCATTTTCGAGGGAAACAGAGTGGTGGGTGAGGAAGATTACCAAAGCGAGAGTGCTGGTACCAGAGTAAGGTCCAGGAGGCGGCGCCATTAGAGAAGAAGAGAGAGCTTGCAACTGCAAATTAATGGAAACTTTCTTTCTTTTACAGAGCCCTAGATTTTGATTTCTTTTGGACTGATGTTAGACCTTTGTATTTTGTGATTGCTTTATAAGTGCATCTTTAATCCAGTGCACTCTTCTACAGTGGCGATAAGTACATTTCATAGCGCCAGTCGTTGGATGTAAGCTTATTGGAAGGTTGAGATTGCTGGACAACGGACAGTCAATTGGAGTGGTAAAATTGCAGGGGGTTTATTTTATTTAAAAAACAAAAAAAACACTAAAAGATATTAAACTTCCCCGGGAGACATTTTACCGTGGATTCAAGCGTTGGATTTTTACTGTTATATTATTATAATTATAATAAAATTTAAAAGAAATCAGTGTATTACCGTTTTTTACTGTTCATATAAAATATTATTGTAAATTATAATAATGTAATAGCATAATTGTAATCACTAAAGAAATTTGTTAACTATGCAATTGAAATATGATTGTATTTTTATGAGATACATTTGATTTTGAAAAATAATTGGGAATGATATGGTTTGTTGGGATTTTTTGAACTATAATATAGATATTGTTTTTATTAATATGAATGTCTAAATCAGTTTGTGTGTATTTTAAATAATTTCATAAATTTTTAATAATTTTAAAATTTATAATACTCGAATTAGTGATTTCTAGAAAACAAATATAATATCTAACCAATTAAATTATACCTTTTAAAATTTACAATATAAATATTGATTTACTCTCTAGGGTATAAAATTTTAAATTTTAGTTTGGAGTTTTTTAAATTTATTTTACAATAAATAGTGAATATGCAGTTATATCCCTAAGGAAAAGGAAAAAATGCATGCTTTAAAGTTTTTTTTTTAATAATTCAAGTATAAAATTACTCTTAAATTTTAATAAAAATAAAGTTATATATATAGGAGTGTTTCCATCATTTGATACTTAAATCTAATATATTTACCAAACTCAAGGTATCTAGATTTAAAGGTTAGTAAAATCCATAATAACATGAGTACGATATATTTGTTAAATTCAAAATTCCTGAACCAGAAAGCGGGGATTAGTTTGCACATCTAACTGAATATTAAAATGTTTAAAAATTTAACTCCCAGGTATCATTATAATAACCTTTTATATTATTTATAAACGACGCGAGTGTCATCCATCTAATCTCCTCTAAAATCTCGCATCTTTTCTTTTGGATTCTCAAGTTTCTTTTGGATCTTTGGCTAGGGATCAGTTTGCACATCAGTTTTAGTGTGCTTCTCCCTTGGTATGTCTTGGCAGTAGCAACTTGCTTGGGGGTGGCCATGAGCTATTGTCTTTGTTGATAGTATTTGGCACGAGATTGAGGTCTTTTGGTGGCCTTTTTTCTCGAATGGTTAGCTGGTGTGCAATGATACAAACCCCACTTGCCTTGTCCTTGCTCAATTCCTATTAATTGAGAGAGACTAGGCTTTTATGGGAGATTTACTGCAGAGCTGGTTTCTGATCATATTTTTGGTTCGCTGTTGCCCCGCCTTTGTTGCCTGTCGTCTGGTTTCAACTAGAGTTGCTAGATAAGCTAACTATTTCCTTTTGGTTTGGTTTCTTTGCATTTAGGTTGGTTTTGGATCTTTTCTGGCGGTCTTTTTCTGCTATCTGGGAGAGTTGTTTATGCTTGAGATTCACTTATTAGTTCAGTGTGCATATTTTATTTTATTTTCATGGGAATTCAGGTGTTGTTGGTGTTGTATACTATATAAACTTTTTCCTTTGAAATGATTTTCTATTAGGGTAACATATAACTAGCTTCTAGGTTTGTATCATTGGATGTTATTCCATGTCCTTCATATGTTGTTCTTGCCCTTCTTTTTTCCAGAAAATGTGCTGGTCCTTTTCGGCTTGGTGATGTCGCCGTTTCCTCAATTGTTGTGTCGTTGCTTTTTAGCCATTTATTTTTGGATTTCTAGAAATGGGTTGCGCCTTCAAACTTGCCAATATTTCCCTGTCCATTAATGTCTGCATTTAACGACGAATTAAAAGACCCTTCATTTTCCTTCTCCCTACTCTTCACTTCAATCAGCAGGAGTCTCGGTGGGAACACCATGCTTTCTTTTCAAACTTGCCGCAGTATTATGCACATTACTCATTTATTTCCCTTGATTCTTTTATATGGTCTTCATTTCCCTGTGTGTTTGCATTACCATCTTTCAAAAAAAAATTGAACAGTGCTCTGCTTATTCTGTGTCATCCATAGACAATTTATTCGATGACTAGCTGTTTACAAAGGCTTCAACTCCATTAAAATTGATGCTCTGCTTTTCTACACATTTTCACTCTCCCTCACGGCTCATTACACTATTAATTATTTGCTTCCCACTTCCAATATAACTTGGAATGCTCCTTGCAGCACTTCACAAGCACACGAACTCTCAGATGACTCTATTCAGCATGAAGCACTTCACACAGTTGCTGGCCCTTTAAAAAAACTTAGAACAGTGGGTAATCTCACATACAGGTGTCATTCCTAGCTTATACTCAGAGAGGCGAATAGAAGAGATATGGTACTAAATCTCAGTACATCGTGTTAACAGAACTACTTGCCACTTATAATACCCCGTCACAGATTTAACCTTACGTTTTCTTTCAATGATCTTCCTTCCAAGCAACCTTTTCTCTATTAAATTCCATTTGGCAGGGAAGTGTGCTTACATTGATTGCTAATTATGGTTATCACATTTTTAGTTATTTGGTTTTAAAGAAATATCATTTTTCCTATGCTACGGCAATTTTTAACAATTACAGCCATTCACTACACTGACTTTGCAAGAACTCCCAATGGCATGGCATTTACCATTTCTATCATGCAGGATGACTGATCTCATAGCAGCATACATTCTGGATCAACTGCTAGATTTATTTTACATATGTTCAAGCATAAAGCTTTTGTTTGAAAATTTTTAATTTGCTTCACTTGGTGTATAGCAATAACATGCAATCCTGCTACCTACCTCCATCCTCGTAGCATGCAATTCAGCTATTCCAACTTGCTTTTATCTTTTTTTTTAATTGTCATCATATAATATCCTGTGCAGTATAGCGCACACAACCCAACTAGTATATATAATAAAAATGGATATAGATGAGTCCCTCGTAAAAAAATATTTTAATTGTGTTTATTTTAAAAAATATTTTGAATTTTCATCTTCAATATTTTTATTTGTTCTTAATAGATTTTTTTTATCAGAAATTAAGTAAACGTGTTTGTTATATACAAAGATTTCAAATAGAAAAGAAGGACCATATTTGATTTAAATTTAAAATATTAAGATGAATTACCATAAAACATTAGGTGAATTTAATAAGTCCCCTGTTTCTATACTAGATGATTTGGAAAAAAACTATTTTGATATTTTTTTTAATTTTCAAAAAAATGAAAAAATAGAAATTACATGTTTTTTCTTTTTTAAAAAATTAATTTTCATTCCAAGTGAGTAAACATGTTTTCTTTATTTTTTTATTTATTAGATAATTTTTTTGAAAAAATAGAAAATTCTTTACAGTAAAGTTAATTTATAGATATGTTTGTTTTTGCGTTTCAAAAGAATTTTTTATTTTTTATTTATTTTAAATTAATATATTTTTAATGTTTTTAAATTATTTTCATATGCTGATATTAAAAATAATTTTTAAAAAATTAAAAAAATTATTAATATATATTTTAATATAAAAAATTATTTAAAAAATAATTATAATTACACTCTCAAACAACCTCATATGTTTATCGCTATATTCAGTGAGATGCTACCATATCAACATGAAAGGTTTATTTTTTTCTAAAAAAAAATCCAAGGCCAAATTAATATATGACAGTTACATGTTGGTTAAAGATTAATAATGCTGATTTAAAATGTGCTATAAAATAATTGAAAATTGATTTAGAAATTTAGCAGTGATTGATTTAAAATGTGCTATAAAAGAAATATATTCTTAACCCTATAAAAAGATTTGATTTGAGAAGAAAAAAACTAACTTGCCCTAAAATCAAAAGAGAAAATGAATGGGACATTTATTCCCATGTTTTTTTTAAAGGCGGTACCTACGCCAACAAATTCTCGTAAGAGCACATGCATCAAAGCACCGTCACCCATTTACTGAAGGGAAAAGTCAGAAAATAAAATTAAATAAAATTAAGATTTTAATTATTTTATTATTTAGACTAAAATTATAAATAATATTAAGAAAAGAAATGAGAAAATAATTTCTTGTGGGCTTCGCCAACCTGCTATCTTTATTAGTAGTCTGTGTTTGAGAATATAGATATAATTATTATTAAAAATATTTTTTATATTAAAATAATATATTTTTTATTTTTTAAAAATTATTTTTAACATAGTACATAACACGATTCAAAATATTAAAAAATTATTTATTTTTAGTAAAAGAAATTGAATTCCACATATACTGTCCTCCCCTAACACCATTTTAAAACCATAGTGTCATTGCCAAAGCCATGTTTTACTATGTTATGTGTATTATACATCATAATATCAAATATAAATATAAAATTTAGTGAATTAGTTTAGCAAAAAGTACATTAGAGAGGGCAATCTCACAATACCTTCAAAAATTCATCGCTTCTTCTAAATCTTCAATCTTGATTATTTCATGGTACCTTCAAAGTTCGAAAAGGAAAAACCGGTGAAAGATTCAGTCATCTCCCGCCGGTACCATGTACCATGAGGAAGCATCGAACAGTAATTATGACAGATTTTATTACGAAAAAAGTCGGAAATTAATGAGAGTTACTGTGCATATGAAGTTGCCCCATTGAGCAAAATACAAGGAGGAGGTGAGTGGCACGATCATGATACTTATAATATTTTTGGATGGAAAAATTTGTTGTGATTTATAATATTTTTTGTTTGAAAATATATTTAAATAATATTTTTTATTTTTAAAAAATTATTTTTGATATTAGTATATTAAAATAATTTTATAATATAAAATAAAAATAATTTTAAATAAAAATAAATAATTTTTTAAAAAAAATATTTTTTTGAATTTTCAAACACCAGCTGCAATTATAAAGATGGT